AATTTGTTTTTTATTGTAAAGTATATACATAAATTAGGTTTAAATGAAATCTTTAGGTCTAAGAATACTTTTGTTAATATTAACCTAAAATTGATAATTGTATATTTATTTTATCAAAAAACTATTAAAAATCTAAATTATAGAAATATATTTATTATAAATCAAATAATTGGTTCTCAACAACTCATAAACTGTGTAAGCAGAATAATCAAAATATTTTCTCCTCTTCTTTTGCTTAAATTTCTTAACCATACATATTAAATTTAAATTAAACTTAACAGATCATAAACTAAGTAAATTTTAGTATTTATATTTAAAAAATAATGAAAATATTAAGATTAGGCAGGCCAACAAATTAATCAAGACTCTCCTCTTTAAAATCTAAGGGATTTAATATTCTACCTGCTTGAGATAACTTAAATTATTGAGATTGTATCTCCTCTAAATAGACCAAAAAATATCTAAAATTATAGATGCTGTCATAAATGACGAAGAATTTAACAATCAAATATAATATCGTGATTCTATTATTTATTAGAAGTGAAAATAAATAAATGATGTTATTAGGAAAATAAGAAAATTGTTATTTTGAAAAATTTATGCAAAAAGTTTTCTTATAAGCATTTTTATTTGAATTAGCAATTATTTAATAAAATATCCTAAAAAATAGAAATGTAAAAAGTTTCAGAATCAAATATAAAAAAAGAGTACCAAAGAAAAGTGAATGAATGCATTGAAAATGTGTAATAAGCAGTAGAGGTAAATGTATTATTTAATAAATGTAAATAGAACTCATTTAAGAATATTGATGCCAAACTTGATGAACTTCTTAATTATGAGTTTAAATCCATCAATATAATTGCAGCTTAATAATAATAAGAATCACCAAAAATCAATTCCAATATTTTACTTAATTTTTAAGATGACAATTTCCAATAATAAATATGTTAAGAGCTGACTTCTTTAATCGAAATTAAAATTCAAAAAGAAGTTTAAAATAAGAAATAATAACATTAATAATTAATCAAAGAAACTGAAACATAATGGGAAAATCTAATCAAAACAAATGATTCTCAGATTCAATCAAATAATAATTCATAAATTATTTAATAATCATCAACACTCATAATCACTTAATCAAATCTCAAACCATTCAATTATTAATTAATTCCACAAAACTCAATTAAATAAGATCAATCTTGTTATGCAATTGCTGTTAATAAAGATTTTACAATATTAATTGCTGGATGTAATAATTAAATTAAAGTATTTGAATTTATATAAGGAATCTTAAAATAAGTTTAAGTATTAAGTGAACATGGTAAGAATATACATACTTTAAATTTCATGAAGGGATCGGATCATTTTATATCTGGAAGTGTTGATAATTCTATAATAATATGGGCAAGAAATAAAAATAATTAATGGATTTTCCAATAGAAATTGAATGGACATACAGGTAGTATACTATGTTTGTTATTAAATAAAAATGAAGATATTATAGTATCTGGTAGTCATGACTATTAGATTAAATTTTGGTAGAAGTCAAATGGATGGTTGTGCTCTTAGACAATTACAGATCATACAAGTACTGTATATGGATTAAGTTTCAATGAATAATAGAATAGATTGATATCTTGTGGAGATGATAATATTATATTAGTAATTGAACAATTAGAATTGAATAAATAATGGATTGTAATATAAAAGATTACAGTAGAACAATTTGGATGTAGATTATGCTTTATTGATAATAATACATTTACATTCTATCCTTATGGGAAAGATTACATAAATGTTTTTGAGATGAATAATAGTAATAAATAGTATATCAAGACAAAAGATATTCCTGTAAAAAGTGGTAACATTTATGATAATTCTTTATTTCCTTCCTAATATATAAAATTAAAATGTATACTTGTGAATAAGAATGGTTAAAATGTAAGTTTAATAAGGATGAAACAAAATGGAGAGTTTATGATTGAGGAATCTATTGATTTTGGAACTCGCAATCTTTTTGGATATATGACTGATGATGGATAGTATTTGATTACTTGGGATGTTAAATCAAAAGAAATTCAGATCAGAAAATATCAGGAGAAATGATTTATTAATATATGAGTGATCATCAATTTGTATATTCAATTTTATTTTTATGATAATATATTAAAAATTCAGATATGTTTTGTTAAT